CTGTCAAAACACAGTGATATATTGGTCACATGGACCAAATGCCACAAGATGCTGAAGGCAGGCAAGGTTCTTTGGGTAAATGTGATCTCTTTTATTAAACCAACTAAACAGTTGGAAAAAATGTACTTTGCAAGCTTTCAGACACAAACAAAGAACAATTTTTCTAACTATTTAGTCTAATAAAAGAGATCACATTTACCCAAAAAACCTTGTCTGCCTATGTCCTTAGACCAACACAGCTACAACCAACAACCCTACAAGATGCTGAATGCCCTCAATGGCTGTTGGATTTAGTTGGTACTGAAGGAACCTGGTACAAAGTGACATGTCCTTGGTCCCTTTGCTGGATCATCTTAGATGGCAACTCTTGCTGCTTTACAGAAACTGCACTGGGACAACTGGTTAGCTGAATGCAGAAGTTCTTCTGATTTTCCTTATTAAGCCAGGCCTATTCAATGTGTTAAGTACACTAAGATACTGATGTACCTATGACTTAGTCATGTCTCACAATAGGCTATTGAGCTTCTGCTGCATTTAACAGTTTCTAAGTAATACTTTTAATAACGAATTACATATGTGATAGCAGATCAAGTCAGAGGGTAGATATTTTAAGTATAATTTACATGATAATCATGAAGGAACAGCTGCCTGGCACATTTTCTTATGGCTTGACTAAAAACCCATAGAAGTCCATAAGAGCTTTTCCATTGACTCACTAGATTTTGGATCAGTTGTTTTTCAGTGCTTTATTACTTCTAGTCACAGCCATGTGATCTTGGACTAATGTCTTTGACTAATGTGCCATTACATGCACTTAGGTTTGTTATGGAACAGGCCTAAAATCTAGGAAAAGGAGAAATTATTAAGAAGTCTGGAAAGGAAAAGCCATTTTAAGTTCTAGAATGCTAAAAATGATATATGTTTATTTGATTTGCTACCAAAAATGGCATGCTTTAATTCATTATCACAATACAATACAATACAACCTCCTTAGAACAACTCCCTCATTTCAGTTATAGCAGGAGGAATCTATTTTATCATTATTAGACTTAGCTGTCTAATGTAGCGAACACTCTCTCTTGATGAGCATTTTCTCCCAGCCCCATGTGGTCGTACCGTACTGTACCCGAGTTGGAGCTTCCTAATGAACTTCCTTGTTCCAGCAGTTGTAATTGTTGACATGTGCTGAGTTCCGTGTTGAACAAGCACTGCCGGGCATTGCAGTACGTTGCAGAACCTCCAGAAGCATGGTGTGGACTTTTGTACCTTTGTCCCCTGCTTCCCTTCTGGTTGCTTCAGAAAGAGGAACCAGGTTTTATCCAGATTAAAAAAAAGCCAACTGATTTTCTGATGTGGTGCTTTCAGAGTTTTGCTAAACCAAGGTTTTATGATGCTGGGGACCAGATCTAAAACCCCTTAGTCATACAAACCACATCCATGAGTTCTCAGAGGACTGCTGTGTGGTGGGATCGCTAGTGGCTATAATTTCTTGTGGCCATAAGTCTGTTTCCTCTCTGGGCCTGCAAAGCACCGCACACCCATATTATGATGTCCAAGGAATTTCAGGAGTGATTTTTATCCTCCTGTGGACTTTTTTTTTTTTTT